ACCAGAAACCATCCATCAGAGGGTCTAAGTTGAATCCATAATGTCAAACTATTCCCTTAAGCGCAGAATGTGGTGTTTTAATCCAGAGATTAACTTGCTGAAACCACATGTGACACATGTATGTGCTGTTCTTCTCAGTCCTACAGCACTCGTTCCCTTCAATCCCAGATCTGTTGTATCATCCTAAGCACAAGGAGAGTAAAGTCATGCTTGAATATGGCATGACTACATTTCAAAAAGAACAAAAAACGTTATAGTCAGTTCAGTTGTCGTGGTTTGTGATGCTGCAGCTGGCCCATCACGCCCTCACAATAAGAGTGCAACACTAAAAGTACAACCACTCCGGTGCTAGATGATTCATCTAAGCCTGGGTGATGGCAGCATTGAGGATCAGAACGCAAACACAATGAGATTTTTAAAAATAAAGAGACGCAGGACATCAGCAGGATCCCATCGGAAAAGATCAGGAGTCTGAAAAACGTGAAATTCTGGAAACAAACATCCATCCCTGATTGTTTTGCCAAGGAAATGTCACTTACTGTAGTCGAACTACAGAATGCCTGAGGATGTCCTTTTTCCTTCCCCAGTGGTATCTTTGTCATACATCCTGTCCTGTGTACCAGTTTGTATGTTGTTGGTGTGTGTGTTTGCGTGTTGGCGTATATTCCAGATCTGCTCATCCTTTTCTGCTCCTTGATCCAAAGCTACTGGGATCAGCTGAATATGACATATGGACACCTTCTGAGTAGATTCAGATGCTGTAATTGATCGATCAGGGGCAGGGGCCAATCAGATTGGAAAGAGTGTGCGTATGCGTGTCATCTTTTACCTCCATCTTGTTTGGTGTTCTCACATGCAGAGCCATTTACAAGTGCCTGAACGCATCCTCATTATCTCCTTGTGTATTTAAATTGAAAAATTTAAGAAACAACTCCCTGTATTGAATTAGACCCATTTTTTATGCTTAGTATTTTTACCTCTGTAAAAAAGAGCAAAAAATTATATTATATATATCAAGTGTATGTTGTACATTTTTATTTCTATTTTTTTTAAATAACTGTTTCTAACATGTACAATGGATGTAGTTCTTGCTTTTCAAGAAGGAACAGGAAGTACTTTGTAGATACTGAAGGGTGGCCAGGTTTGTGAGAAAAGTGAAATGTGTGTCTTACCTTCCGCCTCCAATAAAATGAGAGAAAACGATTTTTAAAAAAGAAGTCTACAGCTTTATTTTAGTCTTTCCTTAAAGATCCCACAACAATCTTCTGTTGATATTGGAATGTAACCAGCTCATAACCAGTTGAGTCAAGTGTCCTATTGCAGTGCAGACTAACTCACTCATTGCAATATGCTGGCAGTCTGTCTACATTTATAAAAAAGATCGATCATTGACCAATCTGTCTGAGAGTGCTAACTCTGGGACAGACTCCAGTTGTTTCGAGACAGGCAAGCAAGCAACTGCACTCAACTTGCAATCAGAAGTGGTCGCCCAAAGGATAAGGATGTTGCACAGTCAACCTCTGAGCAACCAGATCTTCATGGAAACTACTTCTAAAACAGTCTCAGACAGCAAAATAATTCAGTCACTGGGCAGCCATTGATTTTTTCCTAGTGGCAAGGTGGTTGACGTCCTGTTTTTACTCATGAAACGATTAGCTATGAACAACTGAAACAGTTAGCTAATTACAATATACTGACTATACAAACTGTTATACTCAACCCATCAGTAAAAGTAGGAGATACGTTATTGTAACTGTAAGCACACATTAGTTATGCCATTACTGATAAGTTTGTAAAGCTGAAATAAAATTAAGTTATATATTTTTTTCATTTGTTCATACAGAAATCAGCAGTGTTAAAATCACCTGGAGGTTTAGAATTCAGTGGTATGCTTAAAAGTTTATCCATGTGGTTTTTACTTTGACATGTACCACCCACCTAGGAATCATTGCACATGAAGCACAGCCCCTCATTGCAACAGCCCTCCCCAATGGCCGTGGTCTCCCCAGTGTGCTCCAAAACAACAGTGACACTACAATGACCCTAAGTAGAGAGACGTGTCCCCTTAGCAGTTTTATCTCAACTTCAGGCAATCAAAAAAGTATGCTGAAGCAACTGTATCTTCAACTTTTAAATCCGTAACATCTCTGTTCAGTTTTAGACCTGATGCAGAAACAGGACGTGTTAACAGGCTGCAAAGGTAACTGTTGAACAAAATATTTGTGGTAAGGAGAAAAAAGTTAAATCCTGTCTATCTTTGGGCATGGGACCACAGCCACCAATTCCGATAATAATACAAGAAATCTCCAAAGTCAGTAGGATTTATCCTCTGGTGAACCCTTCAAAAATAAGACCTGTATTTCTGTTTCTTTTTTGAGGTGGGTGGGGTTTGTGTAAAAACACTGGCCTCAATTCCTGCTGCAGTGCAAGTCCAAGAAGATAGAGAAAGATTTAGAGAACAATGATTTATATTATTAGGTCCATCTTCCAGCATCTGAAAGAAGTTGCTTAAATGTAGATCAAATATACTGAAAAATTCAATATAGGGTTATATGAAGTCCCTAAACAGTTTTAAATCGTGGTAGAACTTAGTGAGGTAATAGCTAACAGAAGAAGTTTGATGTAAGGAACCTAACACACAAACATCGTTATAAATCACTTTTCATGAAAAGAGAAAGGGTGATTTCACGAGGAGACCCAGAGGATTCAAAAAAATGTCAAAGCCACAAGTTTTTCCCTATGACTTTGAAACTTCTAAAAAGTTTTGCAACATATTTGATGAAAGAAAGCACAAAGAAAAACTGAGGCTAGTACAGCCTGTCTTATTCTCCTCAACATGTCTTCCAGGGGAGCTGCCTCCCTCCACAGGAGGAACATGTGATAGCCATCGAGGACGTCGAGCTGTTTCACTCAGGATGTCTCTGGAAAAGCATGTGGGCGATAATGATGGAGCAAGTGAGGGGAGGGGGAGGGAAAGAGAAAAGAGAAGAGAAAGAAGGTCCCTGAGGGCTTTTGGGGGCCTGCTAAGCAGCTCAATGGCTGCAAACAGCATCGCGGTCCACATGTGCAAGCATTTAAGATATCTGCTCGTGTAATGGGGTCAGCATGGCCCCTCTCTGGGTGCACAAGCACCGGCGCTCACTTCCCAGTGCAGTTTACAGGAATGGGTGGCCGTGGTCCCATGCCCAAAAATAGGCAGGATTTAACGTTTTTCCTTCCTTACCACAAAGATTTCGTTCAACAGTTAACTCGGGGAGTATTACCTTTGTAGCATTTTAACCTGTTCTGTTTTTGCATCAGGTCGAAAACTGCTTGATTCACTCAAACTGAACAGAGACGTTACAGATGTAAAGTTCGAAGAGATAGTTGCTTCAGCATACTTTTTTGATTGCCTGAACATGAGATAAAGGCTGCTGAGAGGAAATGTCTCTCTACTCCCACCCTGTGGATAATGCTTTGACTAGAGAGAGTTTAGAGAGAATGTTTGGGCAGCAAAACTATAGGAAAACAAGTATTAAAGAAGAATTATTTTTATTCGTCTTAAATTGCTAAATAAAGTTTATTCAGAAGCTGTTTGGGGGACCTTGAGTGCACCATTTAAAATGTGTAAAGTTCATGTTTTCATGTTTTCCTCATTTCATAGCGAATACATATTCTTAAGTGACAGAAAATAAATTTTAAAAAAAAAACACACACAATGAAATGCTCCAAACTACTTTTGCAAACATCCTTACGTGATGCCCTTTGTGCTCTGATAGGGAGGAAATTTCAAACGGCGCTCCTGAGGTAATAGTTCAGGGTTAAGAGGGAAGTGGCAAGAGTCGAGGGATTAAAATGGAACAAGGCCGGAAGAGTCTGGGTGCGATCTTTATTTCAGGCACGGAAAGAGAGCCTCTTCCTCTGGTGGCGCCAGTCCTCTGCCGCTGTTCCATTTCCTCTTCCTCCTTCGGGTCTGTGAGCAGAGGTCTCGTCCTCTTCTGTGGATGAGTCTCGGCCACCTACACCCTTCTCCTGTCATTGTACTTAATCAACCCATTTAATCTGCCCCCTACTTGCAAATATAGACTTCAAAAGATAAATATTTACAAATCAATGGTCAGGATTTCTTATTCAGAGCCATAAATTTGTGAAACAGAAGCTTCATGTGCCAAAAAAAGAAAAAAAAGAAGGAACCTGTCACACAAACATCCTTATAAATCACTTTTCTTTATTTAAATCAGCGTTAGGCAGTTATGCTATGAACAACACAGGAAAGTAAAAACAAAAAATTGTGACAAAAAGAAAGACATTAAAACATGAGATCCAGTTAACATTAACTGCACTTGGCACTGGATAGACGTTCATGGAAAGAGGAGAAAAAAAATATACACATTTATCGTAATCAAAATAGAAGTGCCTCCAGTAATCATTAAGTCGACCGTTGGGAATGAAAGTCTGGAGAACTTAAATAAGCCGTATAATATACTGTTTTAATTTCCCAGCTTTGCGATGCTCCAGGTGTCCAAATTTAAACAGATCTCATCCTAAAACCTGCCACTGCCTACGTGCTTTGGTGGATCTGGAGGAACACGATGAGTGAGGTACTATAGCGTCGATACAGTTTGAAATATTGCTATAACTGCTCACACCCATTCGTTCAACTTCTGATTTATAACCAGAGAGGAGGCAGAGGCCAAGCTGTCTTGACGAGGAAAAAAAAATACTAACCCTCCCCACACCCCATCACTGTGTCACCACCAACGAACCCCTAAAGTACCATCACACACTCGATGTCAAGCTCAGGGGCTTTTAGTTTGTGTATTTGTCCCTTTATAAATCAACCATTAATTCTTCATAAAATAAGAAAACAAAACACATGGAGGACCTTCTGTTACTACAATACACTCCATTTACAATGGTAGCAGTGCACAGCAACAAAAGTCAATGAAAAAGAAAAGAGTCAAATTTAAAGATGGAAACTCAAACTCATACATCCAACAAAAAAGGAAAAAAAAGCAAAAACAAAGTAATCCCTCTCCCAGAAAAGAAAAGTCATGATATCATTTATAAAAACCGACATAAAAATGTGATCAGTTCTCGCTCACCCGGAAAAGATGCTCAAAGCGGCCCGTGGCTGTTTGTGGTGGACCCTGATTGTGACGTTACAGACGCTTACGAGTTGCTTAGAAACTTTGCATCATTTTATCTCCTCTACAGGTTTAACAAGGGAGGAAACTAAGCTTTCTGCTGAGGCTGGTCGGTTTACCCGACAAGTGTTAATTCACAACAAGCCTAATCTGCAGGTAAATATGCTGCATTGACAGCTCTTAACCTTCTCCCACCAGCACTCAGCAAGAATCAGTGGAAATCTGCAAAGATGGAATTGGTTTCTTGGGGCTTGCGAGGAAAAGTGTGAACCAATCCCAAACCAGGAGAGAAGAGAGAGAGGCAGAGAGGCAGAGTGGAGAGAGAGAGGAGAGAGCGGGAAGGTGATGGCTGGATTCCCTGCGGTGTTTGAAGGGAATCAACGGCCGAAACAGAGAGGAACAGGGATAAATAGATATATACTCTGCGATGTGGGCAAGGGGTGGAAATGTGTGTGCATGTCGTGTATGTGTGTGTTTGTGTGTATATTCATGTGTGTGTGTGTGTGTCGTGTGGGTGTTCTGTCCGTCCAGTGCTTTATCTGACGGTCACTCCAAGTTTTTCCAGCACACGGACTCCTTTCTCCTGGTACTCCTCCCGGGTCAGCCAGAAGTTGTCCTTGTCCTTCATGATGTCGGCCAGCACGGCTCCACCCAGGAACACCATGTGCTTTCGCCTGGGAGGATCCTCAATCCGGATCTTAAATTTCTACAGGAAAAGAAACACAGAGGAGAATGATGAGTTGCCAATACTGCTCAAAGTTCCCAAAAGTCTACATGTTTTTCTAATCAATGTCAAGGAGATTTATATCAAAATTCGAGTGGTCTAAATCAGATAGAAACTAACTTGATACAAGCTTAAGACCAGAAGATAATTAGGTATAATTATGATAATACTTTTTACTTAACTGTCAGTTCTTCCTATGAATTCATGGCTACCCAACTCTTGACACAATGAGCTCCTTGGCTTCAGATGGCGTGAGCTCTCTTAATAAAAATAGTTTAACCACAGTCCGCTGTCGAAGCAGCCTCATGTTAAGTTTATACACATACACCGCCTCCAGACAGCCGGCAAGGCAAGCAAGCAAAAAAAAAAAGAAAGAAAGAAAGAAAGAAAAGAAAAGAAATACAAGCATTTTTTGCTGATTTCCACAGTTGTCCACTTTTTAACATTGAGAAAGAACAACTGGAGTTGAGCTACTGAAAATATTTCATGTGGTTCAGACAACAGGAGCTGCTTAAGTTAGAGACTACAGGAGGCAGGACACACGATGTCCTCTTGCTAGCATTAAATGCACTTAAATATTAGTTGAGCTTTTTGCACACTGGCGTGATCTGATATCTGACAGGGCCTCTGTACTGGACAACTGGCAGGATAAGGACCAGCTAATACGTGACCAGCATGGTGGTGGATAACTGCACTCTCACATGCACCTCGGCCAGAAAAGTGTTAAACAGGCCAAGACTTTCCTCAAGACCTAGGGGGATTTTTTCAAATAAATAAAAAAACTCAAAAAAAAAAAAAACAAACACCAAATGTTTGAAGGAGCTTCTATCGAAAACATGCTGAATTCAATTTTTTACAGTCTAAACCAACAGCAAACTTGAGAACTGCGCCATAGTAGGATTGGACAGCTTGGTTTAGCCAGGTGTAACTAACATGATTTTTTTGTGACATTTAAAATATAAAACACATTTAAGTGTGTTTAAACCTTCCGAGGAGCTTCCGCTTGCAAAAAAACCACAAGAATAAATTGAAAATTGGAAAATCAACCCGTGTTCACTCGCAAGTTTACTGTTAACAAATAACAGTAACGTGAATTTGAAGCGCTAGCTTGCAGGGCACCTCTGTAGTCCATCACATACATACATGTGATTAATAACTGAGGTCGATTTTTTTTTTTTTTAAATGAGCAAAAACTGTTATGACCTATGAGACATTAGGAAACATTTGGAGCCAGTATGTGACCAGTCAAATTTACAGTGCCTGTAACTGGGAAGCTCTTCATTTAAAGGCTCTTGACAGGTGACTGGATGAGGCCTCTGTCTATCACAGGCTAATGTGGGTATTAACAGAACACGACAGTGAGGTTCAGGAACTGAAAATCCCATTTATATTCTCCATAGGGATTTGATTATGAGCCATAATGTTATAATCATCTAAAGTAGATTTACTATGAGCTACACTGTGAAATGATGGTTTCTACTCCTGCACCAACCACAAATCTACAACATATCAACCTTGTTTTAACAAAAATAAAGAAGTAGTGAATAACTGAAACGGCAACATCTATGACTGAAGGAGGTCACTGTTGTCATGGAAATGTTAGTGAGAAACTGTAGAAAGGCATTAAACAACACCATTATTAATTATAGAAACATTTTACTACCTTGTTCGTGTTTTTACATTTCTTATTTGGTATATGGATTAAAGAATTCAAAACAAGGCGACATGGCTACAGAGAGAGCACAAACAAAGAATAACCTGGAGACTGTACACCACTACAACACGTAGACTTTTACTGCAGCTAAAACACACAGCTGCCACAAGAAGCTGACTGGTCCGACCAACAAATGCTAAGCTTTTAGTCTAATAAAATGGATCCTGTTATGATCACGATTGTGTGAGAATCTGCATTTGTCTCAGGAGTTTTCCAGCTCCTTTAAGACCCAGCAGGAATCACAGCGTGAGCTGATAACTCTGTGGTTTTATCACGACAACTGAGACCTTGCAAATTACAGAGTCATCTGATCAATTGATAATCAAAAACACAGACCAATGCTGCTTTAAAGCGGCCTCATGACAGCTGTGGTCAGATTCACAGGCAGTCCAATTTGTGTTTTCAGCACAGAAAAATGATAACACAAACATCTCCTTCAGCACAATCTACTTCTGTGTGGCATGTTTAAACACTCATATTTTCACCAAATAGGGCAAAGGATGCTGCTTCTGTTTGTTGCTCACGTGACTGGCTGTCTAAACGTACTAACAAACTTGTAAAGGTGCAAGCTACACAAGGAGGTGGTGTATTTGCCATATTCTAGCAGGAAAACAAGTGCTAGCAAGACTGACTGTGGTTTAGTTAACGCTAGAGTTGAAACTGACATTCAACAAAGCAGTTTCTTTCTAGCAAAAACTCATCAGCATCTTTTTAGTTCTGAAGAGTTTTCATAAAGGGAAAAAAAACCTATCATTGGATTCCCACACTAACTTTGCAGACTTTAATTCAAAAAAAAGAAAAAAAAAAAGAAGAGACAATCTGGGAAAATTGGGGTCGATTGCAGTTGCAGGCAGAAAAGTAAAGCACATAATGATGTGTTCTTTAAACCTATGAGTCATCTGCTGAGCTTTGTTTATAAAATACTTCTGTTTAAAATCATCTGTGTCTTTGGGATACCGACATGAAAAGGTAGAAATATTTTACCAAAACAAATATTTGTTACTATGAAGTTAACTGCACGCTTGTTTAAATTAAAGGAGCGTCTGGCCTCTGGCACTACCTTGTGGTAGTTTGTCTACACTGCACTAAAAAAATTCATAAAGGTAGTCTTGTGCTTGAAACGGGCAAGGTTCAGACATGATAGCTGCATGCGGTTTAAGTTCAAGGTGTGTGAAAACACAGCGAGATGTCATTTACATCCTTGAGAAACATGTTCCCCTGTGCTTCCTTCTGGGACTTCAATGCTCTCTAACATGTGGGAAAAGCCGTACTGAAGATCTTTAACAAAATGTGAGAATCAGGGGAAATGTTTTACTTCAAACCAGAGGCCAGATGCAGACTTCTATGTTCCTTTCTATAACTAGAGCACTCTTTAAAAATCACACTGGATAGATCTAATGAGCTAAAATAAATGTCCCAGTTTTTCAAAGTGACAATCATGCTGTGAATCATATTTGAGCAGTTTTTGCTCACAGTCAGTACTACATGTCACTTTATAGGAGAGGGCTGGTTTCTCACCGAAAGCTTGTCCACATCTCCCTTGAGCACACGCTCCAGGTACAGCTGCTTGAGCTCCCTCTCCAGCCGAGATGGCAGGCCGGGGTACATGGTAGATCCGCCTGAGAGAACGATGTGTTTGTAGAACTCAGGCCTGATGACAGGAAAGCAGAAAAGGGTGAGAGCAGGAAAAAGCACATTTTCTCATTTTAAGTCAGCAAATGCTGGAAAATGTACTTTCCAAACAGATCTTCAGTGACTTCAAGAGAGTAAAAATAAATTATTGAACTTAAGCAGCAAGGGATCAGTCATACTTAGTTGACTTGCGAGTGTTTACATTTTTTCCCCTTGTTCCATTCTTTTAAAGACTCATGATCAATTTTCAAACTTTCCATACTGAACTCTAGACTTCACAAAATATTTAGTTTTAAGTCTAAAAGCCTCCATTGCTTAAGCGAAAGCTGTGATCAGCTGACATTGCCATTTGACATCCATCTATCTATTGCTTGCCAAAACGTCTGCCTCTGCTGAAACTTCCTAATGCTGTGGAAACACTGAGTCATCCTCAGGAAAGCTTTTTATTGATAGTGGAGTATACATGTGCCCTTTTGTTGGCCTCACCTGGTGTCTATGTCAGCTGCTTGGATGGTGTTGAAGAGTAGCTCGGCCACTCCAACGCCCTCCACATTGATGAGGTGGGGCTGGAACAGAGCCTCAGGGGCCTCAAACCGCTCTCCTCCCACCTTGATCACACGGCCATCTGGCAGCTGGAGTTGTGTGGGAGGGATGAGAAAAAGAAAAAAAAAAAAGCCAAGAGGGGGAGAAAAAAAAAAAAACATGACACTAATGAAGAGGTAAGATTTAATGTACAAGAGTGCCCAAGGGTGTGAAACTCTACAGTGAGAATCATGATTGATACTGAAAGGAAGGTTTAACTTCTCAAAAGAAAAGAAAATCCTACCAGACTGGTGACACTGTACAGCAAGTTAGAGCACGGAGAGTGCTGGCCTCAAACTGACTATAGTGAATGCATGTGACTATAAAAAGGCTTCATTCAGCCAAGGGCAGTGGGAGGAAACAGAGCCTAGCCACTGCCGCAAAGTGGCTGCACAGGAAATGATGTAACGCGCAATTCAGGACCTTTCGGCCACAGGTACATTGCCCTCCTTGTTTCGGCACACAAAACCATACTTACACATACATGTTCACGCACCTATTCACCTACACGCACACAGTCGCCTACACTAACCCAAACACACATGGTCAGAGCGCACTGAGACACAACATGTGCTCGGAAAGGCGTGCAGTAACACAGACACCAGGACTAACGTTTGGATTCTGTGGTTCTCTCTGCAGGGAAATGGACCTCGGAAAGAAAAGCAAGCCTGACGGAGGAGCACTGCACCCCCATATGTCTGTGTCTCAGAGAAAACTGTTAGTCAGTAGCATGGTCCTGTACCAAAGCTGCCAACTGCATCAACAGTGGGCATGTGGTAGTCTACTTAGCTCAGTGCTGAAACAGATTTAGTTACCCCATTAGTTTTGATTATTTCAAAATACTGCCACTTTTGAATAACAAATCCTTTGGGAGGGATTCTGTCTGTACTGGTGCTATTTTAGGCAGAAATATGAAACTTGTGCACATGTGGAGTGCGTAAAAAGAACTCATTTTAAAGGAAAAAAGTAAACAAAACAAACAAAACAAAAAAAACGTGCAACCCCTCAGGGCTGGAAATTTGCTGACTTGTAAAAACATTCAACCTAAATAAAATAGATGTTTAATATGCCAAAAATATACATTTCAGAATTTCAATCTGTTTTTGCACATTGGTACCTGTGATGGGTAGGGCTGCTTGGTTACCGTGACAATTATTTAATAAATATAATACTCAAGGTTTGGAAAAATTATGGATTTAAACTTGTTTTTTGATGAAAAAAAAAAAAATTACATTAAAAATATTTTTTTTTAAATTTAATATTTAGTTTTTATTTAAAGCTTCTTTTGACTGCTCCCTTATTCACAAGGTGTCATGACAGGATATATCTGCATATTTGATTTGGCACAGACTTTTACCCCGGACACCCTCCCAGCAATTTTTGCCTCTTCTGAGTCTTGAACTGGAGACCTTTTGTGCGTTAGACAAATGTGTTAATGTGTTAATCATCATTGCAATTTGTAATTTTAGTGTTTGTTTTCACGGGTTGTGTGTTTTTGGGAGTGGAGTCGAAGTCTTGTTGTTTAAATTTGCTGGATAAATGAAAGTGATATGACTCACTGAGAGCCAAAATTGGAATAAAAATTTAAAAAGATTCAATGCACAGAGCTGCTGACTCGTATACTTGAGTTAATGACTATTAATGTATGTAGATTTTTGTTATTGTTATTTTACTGCATTTTTGTTATATAAAGCTCGGCTTCTTGAGTGACTAATGCACACAATGCCCATGTGAGGGCACCAATCATTTTTAACGCCCTTTTTATGCAAGCTGCAGTGTTTTGATAACGCTTTCCAAAACGGCACACCCTAAAATCTTTTATTGGCGTTCATAAGTCAACTGTACCGACCAGCTTGGGATTAACATCAAACATGTGGATCAGTTCTCTCACAATGTCACACCAAATGTAACTGCATTTGTCAGTGACTTATTACTGTTAAGAATAAACATGCGAGTGTCTACCGTGTATGATTCCACCAGCACGGTGGTCTCGAGCGCCAACTTCTGCTCCTGTTCGATGTTGTAGCCTACATAGCACAGCTTCTCCTTCATCATGCGCACCGTCTCAAAGTCTGCAGAGTGGTTGAAGGCATAACCCCTCAACAGTAACAACTGCACATGGAGAATGAGAAAGAGGTCAGGGAATAGGGAAGGAAAAGCAGAATAAAATGAGACGCTTTGGCTCACTTAATGTAATCTTCTAATATATCAAGTTGCACTGGAGGAGCTTTTCTAAATTAAGATCTTCCGATTAAGTTGCAAACAAAGAATCTGATGACATATGCAAGACTTCACACAGGAAAAAAAACCAAAAAAAAAAACAAACTAAACTGTGAGATATTTTTATACGCTGCAAAACATATTCAAACTTCTGCATTCAGCAGCATATTTTGGAAGTCGGATGTTAGAATGGAGTTGTCACAGAACCTGCTATTTAAAGATTAATCTAAGAATATTTTGCCAAATCTCCACCTCACGTAGAAACACCTTGATGACATTATTCAAACTGGATACCTTGATGAGGTAGCGGGTGATGTCCCTGCCTGCGATGTCCAGACGTCTTGTCAGGTGGGGCAGACTGAAGCCCTCATACACAGGACAAATGTGCGTGACACCATCACCTGAGTCCACCACCACACCAGTGAGAAGGCCTGAAACACAAACACACTCTACAGTTAATAACCTGCAATTCTATCAAGCAAGGAGAATTTTATCCAGAGTGTGCTTGCAGCTGCTGATTACTGCTGGCTGGGTAAACACACACACACAAAAACTGCTGCAATAACACAGCTAATGTAACAGTTACCTACTTATAACTGCTACTGAGCAGTTATTAGTAGGTAATTGCTTATTTAAAAAAAAAAAATCTGATAAAAATAGTAGAATACTAGACAGACCTCACGCAAAGCTGTGTTTGCACAACATATCAGCTGATGTCAGAAGTACTGATAAATGTTTTGGCACAAATATGATTGTGTTAGTCTGTAAGAACAAACATTTTGACCAAGAAGTGTTTGTGTGGTAGCTAAATACTGCTACACAAAAACTTCCACAACTAACTTTAACAGCGGTCTTGTTTCTAAGTTTAATGACGTAAATAGTAATCAAGAAAATAGTACAATACGTTTTATAACTGTCCGCTTGAAGGGCCTATAATTGCACTTTAGGGCTAAAATTAATTTCTAGATGAGGCAGTTTAAGGAAGCAGAAGAACAAGTCTAAAATGTCTGTGACATGAAAGCTGTGTTATGCAACAGAAAAAGGTTAGTGTCCGTTTTGACTAAACATGTATGTAAAGGCCTCTACCTTGGGCATACAGTGTCAGCACAGCCTGAATAGCAATGTAGACTCCTGCAAACTGGTAGGTCTCAAACATCACCTGTGGTAGAGGACAGGAAGTACAACTGTTGAGAAACTTGACACACTACAGCAGGCAACGTGGGTGCAAAATTATTTCTGTAGCGTAATGCAGAAGTAGCACACAATGAAGTCATTTCACGGAGGATTAACCAAACTGCAACTTCTGCTATGCTTTAAAAATCAATTTCCCCCCGAAAGACTGCAAGATGCTGCCTCTGATAATGACAATTTTAATGTTACCTCGATGATTTTCTCACGGTTCTTAGTGGGGTTCATGGGGGGCTCGGTCAGCAGAATCTTGCAGTTGCGGGAGTCGATGTTGAGCTTCTCTGGGCCAAAGGTGTAGTCCCACAAGTGCTTCATGTCATCCCAGTTCCTGACAATGCCGTTCTCCATTGGATAATTGACCTCGAGCATGGAGCGCAGCTCACTAGCCTCATCCCCCACCATCAGGTCCTGCAGGAAATTTAACAGAGATAAATATTTAAAAATAGTGCAGCAGAGCCCTCAGGATTGTGGAGCCCACTGTGGAACAATCAGAGTTACTGGGCAAAAGGATGAGTATATAGCCTCGGTCTGGAAATTAAACTCAGTCATCTCATTTGCCTACTTGCCACCTGAAAACTTCTGTCATCTGACAACAACAGCATTCATGTAGCACTTTGACTTAAAACGCAATTACCCACCATGCACAACAAGGCATCATTTTCCATGCATATACACCTGGAAACACTTTCCTTTAGCTACAGTACACCACTCGTTTAAGCCACATTCAACTATCTGCATGCAAGGCACCCCGGCAAAATGTAAACAACTGTTGGGTTAGAGCTCAGTGTTAGCCACACAGTCAAGCATCTCACGTTCCACTTGGAGACATCAAAAGCCTACTGAAGGCAGCCATTTTATGGGTTCATCCTGTGCTCTTTGGCATTAATGAGTACCAGTCACAGGCATCGCCTCCATGTGGTGTCATTAAAGAAAAAAGAAAGAAAGAAGGGGGGGAAAAAAAGGAAAGAAAAACAGATGTGTTTCCATCTCCACCACAGCTGTCTGCCATGCATCCTCAAGTATGGGCACTTCCTCTATACTTAGAATAAAGAATAATTATTTTTCATATTGGACATTAATCAATTAAAATATGCTGACTGCTTCAAAATGGCTGGGAAAATAGATACATATGATACATACAGATACAGAAAAATCTGATCTTTGGCACACATTGCTCTGGGTGACATTTTAAGTTGTTTTCAACTGAAAAGTGCTTCAGGATTGGTGGGAGGGTAGCTGTCAGGATGCAGCAGGAGATCAGAGACTTTGACAGTGGAACCGTTCCAAAATCTCTTTTAGCACTCCATCGATAACAGCTGGCCTATGATTCACTGCAGCTATTTCTGCTAACACTCTCAGCCTGGAGAAGAAAAAAAAAACTGCTGTGGATTGGCCTTACCAGCCAGCAATACCCAGCTTAGCACCCAAAATCAAAAGGTAATGAGGATGTACAAAAATGGGATCAGAATGAGTGATGAAAAAAATTAATTCATGAAACACACTGGACAAAAGAAAAGAAAAACTCAATCAAACAAGAGGCTTAATTTTTAATTTCATTACATGACTCAGCTCTCTATAGCAAGCAAGAATCAGAAGCACACACCAACCTAAACTTACCATTTTCTGGACATTCTACTTCACCAGGAGAGGAACAAAACATGGAGGAAGAGGAGGCAGATATATAAAAAAAATGAACAAACAAAAGTGGAAAGGACAAGGAGAAAGGTAGAGATAGGCACCATGCCAAAATAATGTGAAGCTGTCAAGACATTTACACCGCTGCTGTCTTGCCTGCTAAAATAAAAGGACCTGCTAGTTTTGATGTGGGCTGGTGTTCAAAGCATTTTTCAGAGATTCATTAGGGTGCCAACTCTTACAACAGTCTATCTTGACTGTCTATTACTTTGACACTGTGCTTATATAAGAGACTGACTTTATTCTGTAATGTATATTTCACATCTTGATTTTTTTTTCTCTCCTGTTTTCAACTTATATTTTTGTCCGATGACCCATTTCCTTGAGGGGGAAAAATGCATAAGGAGGAACAGTCTGTACCTTGATCTCAATGTTTCCCACTTTGGCTGTAGAACGAATGATGGGTCTCCCAACAAGTGCAGGGAAGATGTGCTCTGGGAAGTTGGAGCCTGCATAGCCGCACTTGACAAACTACAATAGAGAGACAAAAAGGAAAGAAAACCAGAGCACAGAGGAAGTGATTAGAAAATACTGATAAGATAAATTCTAGAACAGAGCTTGAAAACATTACTACCGGTATCATCCTATTGATAACAAAGACCCCAATTACCATTCAGAATGAGCATGTTTGATGACGATGCACGTTTCATGTACTGCATGTCTAAATGTGGTCAGTTCCTGCATTAATTAACTAAAAAAAAACCTAATTTAACTAAAACTAATTTCCTTTTTAATGCAAAAAACAAACAAAGATATTTAACATTAATATTCTGCATCTGTGATTTTCACATTTATACAATGAAAACCCCTCTGTGTTATTACCAACAAATAAAATATTATTAGAACCATTTGTAAAAATCAATTTTGTGAGAGCTACAAAGACTATCATTTACACCAAATGGAGATATAGACAATTTGCTGTTCTTTGCGCTCAGCTAGAATAGTTGCACGAGCTCAGATAACCAAAGACCAGGAAAAGATAGCATCAGGGGTGCACTGGTGTACGATTACCTCTAAAATATCAGCCGCAAATACCGTTACAGGAAGTTGTTTTAGCTCTAATTAAAATATTTGGCTGCTTTCTGATTCTACACACCCTTTTTTGCACCAATTTAATTTGCTTTGAACCAACTATAAAAACATTTTTTGCATCAATACACAGCACAAAATGTAACCAAGTAACAAGGGATGCAGACTGCAAACATGCAATTTGGAAACCGTTATGGTAAAATTCATTGAAAGACTATCAAGAGTAAACTAAACAATAAACAGTCTAAACTTTTTTCTGCATGGGAAAAAGAAAAGAAAAGAAAACGCATTTGCATTGGACTGTGAAAAAGCATGCAACAACGCTCTTAACAAATCTGCTCGTGACATATACGGCTGTGGTTCAGACTCGTCTCACTTCCTCTTGACTTCTCAGTTCAACTCTGACACAGGGCTGTTTTTTCCCTCTGTTTCACAGAAAGCTCTTGAAAGACTCACAACTCAAAAGAGCCTTATTAGTCAGTAACATGCTGAGCCAACATCCTCTTTGACTGCTGACGTTTAGACAAGGAAGCCTGCACACCCCAAAAGAAACAGTGCTACCTGTGTGTGTGCAAGAAGCAATTTAGAAGTATAAACAAAGCTCAGTAAAGTTTATATTAAATGCTTGATGGCGCACAAGCTGTGTATTTTATTAAGAGCGAGTACAGCTATAAGGAAATACAGCAGTATATCATTCATGTTGATAATTACTATTGGGGACGAAAAGACCACAAAAATGTATCTGATGTAGTGCAAATATGAGCAGCTTTTTGGATGGTGGTTACTTTCCTTTGTGGTGGGGGCTCTTTCGCAATGTTTCATTTTACACACCCATAACTTCCGAGTGTTTAACCCCCAATTTTAATCAATAAGTACATGTAAACACACAGCCGACGTGCAGATCCAAAGATACGTGCAGAAATACACCTGCTGAGGTCTTTCCGGACTCCTTACTAATGGATGCTTGGGTTAAATTTTTAATGAGCGAAGTTAGTGTAAGCTGCGGAATGAGAAAACGTAAAGGTGGTTCCTCAATTCACCTGACACGGCCTAGCTAGCATTACACCTAGCCGACACTGAGTGAAAAAACATGTAGCTCCGGTCCTTGGAAAGCAAACCCCGACTACAGCATGGAAAGAATGAATCTGCAAATTCCGTGTGGTTTGCCGAACAAATCGCTGAAATGACTGACGTAGCTGCCAGACAGCAGAAACCAGACAGCCAGCTGTTAAAAGCTAACTAGAAAGGCTAGCTCGGTTAGCTTACTAACCGGTGGTTGCACCTAGGACGTTAACTATTAATTAAGGGAGTTATGCAGGAGGGAGCAATACAACTAGAGATTTTAATTAAATTTTATCCGTGCATTTCCATCCAATCCGCGGGCCGTTTCCGCATCAGGACTGGATGAATGAAAATTAGCAGGCTAACTGGCTAGCTACACACCCAGTTAACGCTAGCTAGCTTGGACGGTGACAGACCCACTTCCTGTTTCAGCAAATCAGTCGACATAACGGCTCCTTTTAGAGCAAGACTCGAGCTGGTAACACGCCGAGCTAAAACGGTAAGCTTACCCCGGTCCCATTGTCGCAGACCACCACTTTCCTTCCCTGGCTGTCCATTATGTAAAAGCCCAGTTGCTGCTGAACCTCCCTCAACTTTCTTCGGCAAAGCCGGAAGGAAGACACACCAACCCGGCCGAAAGGAGGAAGGGAAGGGTGCTCATCCGGTGTGTTCAAATGACATACATTCTCTTCTTCATCTTTGAATTCGTCCCATAAAACCCGTTTTATTTATTTATTTCAACTTTTATTTTATTTTTTTTAATTTCATATCATCAACCTACATACAGTTGAAGAAGGAAGGAAAAACACAATCACACAAATAATTACTGTGTCACAAACCATCTACATATTGTGCACGCATGAAGTTGTGGTTAGAAGTTTACGTACTGCATAGCATACTTCTTTAATGACTTTAAAAAAAAAACAATAATTAGATGCAGTTATTTATTCGGTCCAGTTTTGATGTGTGTTTTAGGTCATTGTCATGAACCTAACCTGGAGTACCCAGCTGTGTTCGGGCTTTAACTATCTAGCTTCTGTCTAACTACTACTATCTTTGCAAGAATGTGGAGGTGGTCCTACTCCTTTATTATTCCATCCACTTTCTGCAATGTACCACAATTACTGACAGCAAAATAGCGCCAGAGAATGATGCTAGCATCACCATGCTTAAGAGCTGGTACAGTGTTCTTAGATTTGAAAGCATCATCTTTGCCCCTCCACACATACCCTCTGTTATTGTGACCAAGTAGCTCAGTTTCTGATACTGGTCTTCCAGCAGTTTCCAGTTCCTTGGAATTTCTCATTGTTCTGAGTGTTGGCCAGTGAGTGCTGTCAAACAAATTCTTTTTATGCTGCCAAAGACAAACTACAGTTATAGTCAATCATAATCACCAATGCGAAGTTAGTAATGAAATGAACCTGCAGAACCTTAACTTTTAAAATATTTGAGTGTATATATATATTTGAGCCTGCATGTGCACTTGTGATCTTGTGTGGATTAGAGAAAATCCAAAATAAATTCAGATTAGTGTTTTTTGAACAAAGAAAGATGTATGCTGTACAATCGTTCCATCCTGGGAAATGAACAGTTCAAAATTACTAAGAAATTCAGGCCCATGATGAGCGTTCCACTTCTGACCACAACTATATTTATAAATGGCTGCACACAATCCATGTATCGTATACAAATGTATTAATTTAGAATTACCCTCCCACGCTTCCAGACATATTTTTATTTAGTATAGGAAAAAGGAGAGAACAAATTCCTTTTAGCTTATTTGATTAGTTTTTGATAACACTTACAATCCCTCTTTTCACATTATAATCATGGCAAAAAGAAAGTACACCATCTTTCAATTCACAGGTTTTACAAATCAGGACATAATAAAAATAATCTGATCCTTAGCAGGCCTCAAAATTAGGAAAATTAAACCTTTGACAATCAACTAAATGACAGATATGACACATTTAGCTAAATGACACATATTACAATGTGCAGTGTGTGTAGGTGTTAAGATTTGGATTTGCTTTGCAGCCACGGGCTCTGGGCTTCTTGCGGTTACTGACTCGACCATGAACTCCTCTGCATACCAAATTATTCAAGAATAAAATGTAAGGCCATCTGTCTCATAAAGCTTGGTCAAAACTGGTTCATACAACAGGACAGGACCTTAATATAACCTGAACCTCAATGGGCTGAAGCAACACTGTAACAGAGAGTAGGGTAAAATTCCTCTGCAAGAGACAAGTCATACAGAAAACGATTACTTTAAGTTGTTGTTGCTAAAGGAGGCTCCATAAACTATTAATTTATGGGGTGTACTTAATTTTTCATAAACTGCTTCTGAAAGAGATGTAAATAGACTCTTCATTAGACAGAACCTTTGCAAAACAGCTTGTGCAGACTTCCGAAGTACTGAGTACTTCAGCTGATATCTTCAATACCTCGCTGGAGAAATGTGCCAGCCTGCTTTAAGGCCTCCACCATTTTTCTGTTTCCCAAAAACAATTAAAATTCGCCTTGATGACTACAGTCCTGTTGCTTTGACCTCATTAGTAATGAAAATGTTTGAGGATGTTGTGTTGTCACATTTCAAACCCATCATTGACCCCCTCCTGGATCCCTTGCACTAAAGTTATGCTTTCAACGCCATCATCCCAGCTCTACGTCTCTCCAGGCTGAATGCACCTGCTCCCACCTGCACTGGGATTAGTGACTTCCTGTTTGACAGAAGGCTGCTTGTGAGATCAGGCAGGCCCATTTCAGATTCAAAGAAGGTGTTCTTACTTTGACTGTCATGACTGTACATAAACCCTTCGTTTTATTGTAAAATGACTATAGGAAGCAGCTGTTTGTTTCACAGGAATGTGCGCAAGTGGACAACAAACTTGTCACGGCAGTATTTCAGGACAATGTTTTTATACTCCAAAACACCTCAGTAACATAAAATCACTGGAAACAAATAAATGAACAACAATAATGCAAAATATTTTCTAAAATAGTCAGGAACATGTAGCCTATTAGTTTGTGGACATCATAAAACATAAAAACAAAATATCAGCCAGGAGCAGGAAACAGGAAAAAAAATATTATCATCAAAGAAATCTCAAATACTTTCGTGACTTGAATATGGAAACACATATATGGCTTCCTAATACTAAAACAGACATAACAGAATACTGTAACTGGCATGAAGCAAAACTTTGTAATAGAGGAAGAAAAATGAAAAAGTGAAAACAAAAGTGACCTTGCTAAAGCTGAAATTAAAGAAACAAAAAAATTGTTTGAAATGTATATTTCTTTAAAAAGGCCACATCACATAATCACATTCTTTCTGTCTTTTATATGATTTGTCTGTTATAGCCTTACATTAAAATAACCGTGTGTGTCGTTTTTAGGTAAAAATAACAACATACATATAAAAATATCCATTTCGACTGACATGTTTCCTGTAACAGACTAAATAAATCTGGGTAAAAGGGACGTTAAACCAAACTAAATCACAACACTGCACATTGAGGAGAATAATACTTTCACACACTGTACTGTTGCTGCTGACCTTCCGCAGTGCAGTTTGCAGTTTGCAGTTTAGTATGCTTTGAAATTTGAATATCCTTATATGTGAGGATATTTTTTTACTCACAACTTTCACCCTAAAAGCAGAGGATAGCCAGCAGGTGGAGTATTTTTACTAAAGCAGGAAAATCAACCTCTCGTTTCCCAATAAGTCTCTATGATTTCATGTGACCTCACATGTAGTAGTATACCTATTCTATACCTCTTCAAACAGCCCGTGTTGAATCAGCTACATACATGGGAAAGCAGGCCAAGGCCAAGTGAAAGATTAAAGGGTTTTCTCATTTCTCTAATTTATGCCTTCTCATGTCCCCTGTTCTTCCTCCTGTCTCAGTTCCTAAAATGCATCTGCAGGTCTTGCTACAAGAAGCTACAATCGAGGATGCACAGGTATGTCCTTTGTCCTCTTTTATGCACTGAAGTGTTTCACTTGCAGTGTATAAAAGAGTTTTGCAGACAGCTGGAATAAACAGTGGAAAGAGAACTCTGCACACAAGCAACCATATCACAATGTGTTTAAAATGATCAGTTGTGTTATCAAATGTTCTGAACTCTTCTATCTGTGTGTGTTTAACAAAAATATCTCAAATTTTCACAATCCAGTTTGTTGTAAATATAAATAATGTGTTGTCATTTTGGAGAAGTGCATGCTTTGGGTAGGAGCACGCTTGGGAACATGAGGACCTTGGCCTGCATGAAAGACAAGTTAGGAAGCACAGCGATCACCCTGGAAGCCTCTTCACTCAGCTCTTCACTCGGCAGGAATTTTCTGTCAGAGAGCACACACAACCAAACAGTAACAGTTAAACTGGCTTTGAATTATTTCAATTTAAAACAAAAAACAGATCATATATCAGATTCACTGACCTCACTGAAATGCTCGTCTTCTCTGCGGAGGACATCAGGCGATTCAAAGTGTCCTCTAGGTGGCTGCTGTTAGTGTTGATTTCCAGCTTGCTGATGGTCAACTCATACAGCTCTGGATCAATTCCTTTACACAAAAGTGTTTCGTTATAACAAGACATACACCACAAGCAGCATTGAAGGCAGGGGTGGGCAAATAATTTTCCCAAGTTCCCAAATGAAATTGGGATTGTTGTGGGTGGATGCATTAAAAAGCTTATAAAGAGATGAGCCCACTCCCAACCAGTCGTGGCAGATGGCTGCCCCTCTTTGTGTCTGGTTCTGCTGAAGGTTTCTTCCTGTTAAAATTAAGTTTTTCCTTCCCACTGTCAGTAAAGTGCTTGCTGATAGGGTGTCTGTTTGTTGGGGTTTCTCTGTATTATTGTAGGATCTTTACCTTATAACATTGAGAAGACTGTTGTTGTGATTTGGCATTATAGAAATAACATTGAATTAAATACATAAGATTAATATTGAGCAGAATTGAGTTCAGCTTAATGGTCTGGCCTTCCACAACAGTCCCAGTTTCTAATGTGGCCTCTTGAGAAAAGTATTTGTCCACCCCTGATCTAGGCTCATTTCTGTATTGCTCTAAGTATCACAATTGAAAGGTGTAGTTATTTACCTGGAGGGGGACTGTGGCTTTGGGTGCTACTGCTGGACCTGCTCTCATCCTCAGGACCAAAGTAATCCAGGCTGAGAGCAGAACAGTCTGTGCTAGCATAAGGGAGAAAGAAGAAGAGGTCTGAAGCTTTGTCTTTTTATCAGGACAGTCAAAGGAAATGGGTACAATCATTAAGGTAAATAAAAGAACCTCAATGGCATGTGGTGTCAGCAGTTTTGTTTGTTAGATGTTATCTACATGTACTCTCCATGACTTGGAGTGTACACTTGGAAGGCAAGTATATGTATATTGGTATGTTAGTTTAAGTTTAAATCAGTGTTTTGGAGCCTGCTGTGGTGGAAGTCTTTAAGTGTGTTTCACTGAGAACACCCAGTGGTGTTGTGTACTGTTGTGAAACCTTTTTCACAGAAGACATACTGTGACTTGTCACAACAGGAATGTAACAAGGGCTTAGTTACCATAAGTCACATCAAATCATGTGCCACAAGAAATCCTCTAACTTTATACTTAATGTGTCCATGATATTTTTTGTGTAAATAAAGAGCAGAGTTTTTTTTGGGCACACTAAGTTATATGTTATAGCCATGTTACCAGATGAAGAATAAATATAACCAGCAGTGAAAATTTGAATTTAGACTCAAATTGAGGCATTATTGTTCAGTCATGTTGTCATTTGTAATGCCTGTTAATGTTAAAGTAAAACTGTACTGACAAAACCAGTCACAACCAGGAGGCTGCCACTTCACTGCAATGAAGTAGGTTAAACAGTAGAGGTCAGCAGAAACACACCGCTAAAGTTGGGTTTATTTTAGTCCGTTTCCCTTTCAAGTTTTATATGTGATTATTGTGTGTAATACTAGTGAATGGTAATGCTAAATGGTTCTAGCTTAAAGATGAAATAGAATAATCGAATCAAATTAGTAGTCTTTTGTACTAATTGATGAGGATTGCCTCCTCCTGCAGACTCTGGTGGATTTGTCCTTATAAGGTCATGAAATAAAATCTTGTCATTTGTAGTTAAAAAATGACCTCAAGTTCTGATTTTTTT